TTACGTGGCTGGGAATCTAGTCCATTCAGTGCGGAGGGAGGCCAGCCGAGCTGCATGCACACACTGCGCCTGTACACAGCGAGAGGGGAAACAAACACAGCGCGCGCGTGCGCACGCACACACACACACACACACATACATACATACATACATATACACACACACGAGCACACCGAGCCGCCCCTTTGACGTCACCTCCACCCTGAAACCCCATTGGCTTCCAACCTTGAGTTCTAATATGCAGCGCAGTCATGTGAGAGCCATGTAGTGTGGCTACACCCACAGGAATCTAAATGCATCGCATGCTGGTAATTTGGATGGGGAGGGGTGGGGAGGGGTGTGGGGGTGGGGTTGAGCATAGCTACTGTATGTGCTGTGTTACAAAAGTGGTTCCTCCTGAAATGAAGGCGATGGGGATCCCTCTCTCTCTCTCTTAAGTAGCATGCAGACAACCACTATTTTACACAAGTGATATTCACTTGCATCAGCACCACTGTGGTGGCATCTAAATGGAAAACAACAGTATACATCAACTTTATTTACACCTTATCTAAACATGGAAATGCACCAAGAGCTAAAGTATAACATGCTACTGGTGTGACTCACAGTATGAACTGTAGGATATGTAGTCAACATTACAATGTGAACACAACAAAACCATGCGGATACAATCCAAGGAGGACAGGATTGTGCAATTTCATGTAGGAATCTAGGGCGGTGAGAGGAATGCTTGCAGCTGGATGCAAGACATTGACAGAAGTGTTTGACTGAACCTTTATTCCCCTGCTTGCAGGCGGCAACAGTACACATACAGTATGTAAACCTTCATTTCTCGCCACCTGCCTGAGTAAGCCCCCGCAACATGGAAATGCAGTTTTCACACAGAGGCGTCTCATCTCAGAAACGGTGGTTCACAGTTGCAGAATGTAGCGTTCCTCAAGGTTATGTTTACTGTTCGTATGTTTCTGAGTTCTGTGATATAATCTCTGTGAACACTTTATTCTTTGTTTTAATGCTGGAACATTTTTCATGACACACTAGCTTTGTTTTATTTTTAGACATTCAGATGAGAACAACATGAACATGTTACTTTGTTGCAGATTACTTTAACCTGCACAAACACAGTAATGTATGCATAGGCTAGCATTATGCATTTCTGTTTTATGCCACTACACTTCTGCATTTGCCCACCACTCTAAGCCCAAATAGGACAAATAGGGTTTCTATTAAGGTTAAACCACAGCTGTGCATGAACCAGAATAATAATCCCCAAAGATTCTTTTTGCCCCCATTCCCTGATACACTGTGTGACTCATTCACTGTAGAGAGAAAATCCACTGAGACTCGTCAGCTCTTCAGACACGCCTACATACAGAGGAGCATAACAGCAGGCTGCCTCAGCAGTGCCTTCCAGCAAGAGCTTATGACTCTGATGTACTACATAAACAAGATGTGTCCCATGGAAGGCTGCAGAGGACAGTGAGTACAGGTGAGCATATCTGAATTCCAAGAGGATGTTACTCAACAACGTCCTAATAGGTTGTGTTGCCCTGTGGATAATGATCTAAGGTCAATTTCTACAGATATTACCGAAAGGCCTAAGGGTTTAGATCCACTAGAGGAATGTGTTTTCCATAGTGGTTGCAATCAAATGAAATTATTAGAATGCATCATGAAAGCCACTCAGATGAGAGTGATTTTCCTTGGATTGTACATTCAGAAAATAGCCAGTTGTCCACTGTCACATAGCAACGCAGCTAGCCAGCTCATGTTGACACCAGCAAGAATCAGTGCTGTCATCCACACCCTGCGGGCAACTTCCGCTGAGAAATTCAATCATACGCAAAAAGATAGATGGAGAGGAATTTGAGGAATGAGATCATTCACTGAGTGTGTGAGAGAGAGCTGATGTGAGGAAGAGGGAGGCAGGAAGATGGAGGATGGAAAAAGCAAGCAGCAGGAGGACTGATGAATAATGACAAGAGTGGAAGAGAAAGAAGAGGAAAGAGGAAGGAAAGTGACAGAACGTGTTGTTCATCCCTGACGTCCTCTTTGGAAAACAGGGGAAATACGTTCCATCAGGCAGTGAGATAACAGCTAGTTGGGCAGAGGAGCAATATGTTCAGTAGGTAAGCGCGCAGATGCAGTACTATGCAAGTCTTAGGCCACTGTTGTTATTTTACCAATGCTATGATGACTATATGAATTTGATTCTCTGTCTTTTTATCAGAATACAACTAGAAAATATAGGAAAAATTAGTAAACAAACTCAAGGTGTGGTATTCAATTTGTTAGCTTTGGCTGCTTCGCAATACTTAATAACATTGCACATTTTGTCTACTTAAGGCAGTACATAAACATGTAAGTGCAAACTAATGAGCATATTGCTTAAAAAAAGTAACCAGTCAGCACCAGA